ACACACACACACACACACACACACACACACACACACACACAGAACATTCTGTCTGTAAATTAAAACAGACTTTGTTCTCAAAAAAGAAAAAATAGGTACTGACCATGTCAAAAAACAGCTATTTTGTAAGGTAGTGGAAATCAAAAGGAGGGATTTAGTTTTTAAATGTCTAAATGACAATAAAAATGCACAGGAAACAATAAATTTCTTTATAAATATCTGTATTACACATGAAAACTACAAACTTTAAAAAAAATTTCCAGAAAGCTACCCTTTCCTATATGTTTTTAATCTTTCCTCCTGTTGATGTAATATGCCAAGAAGTATAGATAACATGTTTAAATTGCTATAAAATCACTTTTTTTCTTTTTATGATAAAAATTTCAATTATGCACAGTAATTTAAGTTACTGCATTAAGTATTTTTTAATTATTTAAGTAGAAGGAGACCTCCCTCCCACCCCCAACAAAAAGATACTCAGACATGTATGGACTCAGAGAATCAATCTCCATGCATATTCTGTAAAAATTTTTGGAAAAAGCACACCAGCCAACAATGAAAAAGAAAAACAAAGAGGACGTGAAAGAATCTAAGAAAGTATAGAATAACCCAGGAGGCCAAAGAAAAGAAACCCAGAAAGGTTATGCAGAGGGCTCAGAACAGCCTGTCCAAAACTGAACATTCAATGCATGGTATGATAAACTAGGTGAATAATATTCACATAAATACTATAAAGGCTATTTTTTTAATTGAAGTTTATTGGGGTGACAATGGTTAGTAAAGTTACATAGGTTCCAGGTGTATAATTCTGTAATACATTATCTATATGTCACATTTTGTGTTCACCACCCAGAGTCAATTCTCCTTCCTTCACCATATATTTGATCCCATTTACCCTATAAAGGCTGTTTATTAGTTTTCAATTTTCATATTCACGAGACAACACATGAAAAACAGTTATAGGTAAAGAACAGAACTTAAACATTACAAATGTTGACGCTGTAGAACTAATAGTGTAGCTGAGAGAAGCGGGCGGTTAACAGGCAGAGGGGAGAAGCACAAAAACTTCAATGGCCAGTTCTACCCTGGGCAGCCACCACCACTGTTTAAAGTTAATGAAGCAATAAATGTAGCTCCAAGTGAAGTGCTTAGAACTGTTAAGATAACAGAAGAAATATGGTTACAAAATTGAGAAATGCATAAGAAGTGAAATTCCTAATCAATCAAAGCAGCAACCTGAATCAACGGGGGAAAGACATAAATTAAGAAACAGAGGTGTAAGCACATTGTTTACAGAAGAGAAGCAACCACTAGAAAGAACTAAAAAAACTTATGGGGAAGAAGATATGAGAAGTACGCCTAGGGGTGAAAAGTAGGAAGCAGAACTTTACTTTTCATTTTATACACCTCTTTTATACTTCTGAGTTTTTATTTCCAAGTATATGATTATTTTTATAATTTAAAATAATACCATCCAAAATCCCGTGTTTGTAATTTCAGAAGTTAAACAAGGGAAGGAGACATAATAAAATTTTTAAAAGTTGCTTGACTTAATATTAAATATAGTTGATTAATTTTCAAAGATATATAGCAGAGAATAGCACCAAACTTTTAACATGTATTAGTTAATATTTATTCAATCATATGAACTCAAATACAAATGTTTTATTATAATAAAATCATGTTGTTTATAAGAGGTATCATCATGAAATTGGTTCCTTTATTTTTGAGGCCTCCTCATCCCTGCCAAGGTTCTATTTTAACCTGTAACATCAAATAAAATAAGCCCCGTGCTTATAATACTTATGCTCCTCCTCAATTATAAGTTAGGTACCTTCAGAAGATGAATTATTATGACACAAGATAAAGCTACTAAATACTGTAATCAAATCAAATGGAACTTTTTCTTAAATAAACTTAAAATTTTCTTTGCAAATTTAGGAAGTTTCAACCCCTGCAATTACTAAGCATCCCTCAGGTCTCATCCCCTCCAACTCCCCTCTGTATCAAGTGCTAATGAAAACAAAGACAACACTGCAGGTTAAGTAGTGAACAAAAAAAGGTAAGATTAGGAATCATTTCTGTTCATTAAAATTTACTTAAGCAGCAGGACAATAGTAACGTTGTCCATTGTCTGAAATAGCTGAGAGAACAGCCGAATGATGTTTGAGAGACACAATAAATATAAATTTTAAAAAGTTTATGAAAAATAAAAGGCACTACATAGGGTCACCAAATATTCCATGATTTTTTATTTAAAAAAAATTAGGGCCGGCCGAGTGGCTCAGTTGGTTAAGAGCTTGCGTAAGAATGTGAGCTCTGAGCAATAGCGGTTCAATGCCCGGCCTGAGCTGAGCTGCCAACAGGTGGCAGGATGGCTCAGCTAACAACAAAAAAAATTATACTACAACTTCTTCAGTTTTCAATTTGTGCCTACATCTACTTTTTTGGGGGGTCACTGTAAAATAAAAGAGAGAAGACAGAATTCAGTAAAGATATGTGGAATATATTATAATAATGTGAAGGTAATGAGAAGTAAAAAGAAAACACTTATAACTCTTAAAACTACAGAACTTATTTTACAAAATCTAGATTTAATATAAGAGTACTTATGGTACTGCCCAGTGTGAACAACATGCAAATATCCTTAGGGGAAATTTCCACCCCTCATCATACTCATTCTGGAAATAAACATAAAACACAATGTTGGCATACCCTTTTGGAGCAAAATATGTTAATGACACTCATCTTTTAATTTTACAATTTTATTGTAAAATTACGTATGAAGAAGAATTTCATTTTTCATGATTAAGATAATACATATGATTGCCTTTTAGTGGAATGAAAAAAAGTCCTGTCTTCGTTTCAAAACAATTAATTTCTTGTTTTAATTATTCTCGTCTGATAATTTCATCTCAACCTAAATAAGCTTCAATATTTCTGCATGTTGTGGTTTCAGTATTACTGCATGTCTTTTTGTACAAGCCCACACAAAAAAGAATTTAGATGACTAAATGCAGTCACTGTCACTCTGGGCATGAAGAAAAACTAAAAATAGACCTAAAATTTTTCATTCTAAGCCTTAGGACACTCAAGAAGGAGTAAGGTACTTCGCCTATGTAATCTGATTTCAATACCGCTAGCTATGAATACTATAAATGACTATAATTAAGTATGACTTGTACTGTAGATGGACAATGGACTTTATAACGTAACAGAAATGAGTTCAAATCATGGTTCTATTTACTAGATGTGCAAACTTGGACAAGTTATTTAAATCCTTGTGAGAATAATAATATGTACCAGAATAGGCACCATTACTTGGCATATGCTAGAGAGTTTAAAATGTTTAATTCTATTTCCAACAGTATTAAACTAACAACTAGTTTATTCTGCCTGAAGGCTAGTTTCATTCCGGCTCTTAGACCTCCAGTTTTGAGGGGCTTCCCTTAGTAGAGTTTCATGACTTTAGCGTGCCACTTCAAAAATGATCTGTTTTGGCTGGCTATTGCACCATTTTATTATCAGTTCTCATTTGAGGAGCAGTTAATTCATCAAAAAAATTTTAAACTGGGTATTTTACTTCTTACATACACATGTATAAGAAATATGATAATAAAGAAACTCAGGGTAAAATAATGAGACACAAGAGATATATATGGTTTATGGACTCAAGTTTCATATTTTAATTGTAGTTCCATGTTTTAGGTTTGACCCTGAGGTTATATGTACTTCATCCTATCAGACTGCTTCCTTTCTCAATTACATGCAAGAGTAACGTAAAGTCCCTCTTGCTGTTCCATGTGCAGGTAAAGGCTTTAAATGCATGTAAATTAAGAGAGGTTAAATATAAGTGTTAATGAGTTTCAGTCAATTCAGATATTACAGTTTCCAGTTGAGCTAAGAGGTCTAGAAGTAACCTGGATCTTGAACAAGGATGAAACTGAAAGGAAAAAAGCTAGAAAAGCATGGAGGGGGAAAACTAGTTAAAGAATAACAATAGTGGTCATATATTTAACACTTGCATGTGACAGCCAGATGCTTTAAGTAAATCATCTCTATTCTGTCAAATAGGTATAATTATTTCCATTTATAGACGAGCAAACTGAAATTCAGAAAGGTTAAATGATCTACCCAAAGTCACTCAGGCAGAAAGCAACACAGCCAGAACTCAGAATGAACTCTGTCTGACTCCAAAGAAAGTCAGCTCTTCATCACACCAGGCAATTTCTGGAACTTCAACTGCTGGGACATCGAAATTTTGTCAGAGGGCAGTTATCTTTCCCTTCATTTGAACAAAAACTAGGTGTAGAAACAGCTTATGTTCTTGATGAATGCTCCTTCCTTAGTGTTTTCCATTCCTCAAATGAACAAGAGAGAGATGAGGAAAGAAAAGGAAGGAAAAGAAGGAAGGAGGAGGGGGAAGGGAACCCATAGAATGTATTTCATTAGTTTGAAGTATTGTTTGTCTACATCCTTTTCTCTCCCTTGTTTCTCCTAGCAATATGACACAACTCAGACATAAACATACTGGAATGCCCTTTAAATTCCATGGAGAGAATATAAAACAAATAAAAACCAAAACATAAAGTTTACTCCCAGATATATACAGTGGATTTTACATAAGCCCCTTTAAATTCTGAGAATTCCAATAACCCACTGATTTACTTCTATTTCTGGAAAGTTACAGACTTACCATGAAACTTTGAGGCTTCAGGGTCATTCACATTGATAGCAATTAATTTCCAATCGGTTTCACCCTGATCAATAAGAGCCAAAACTCCAAGGATCTTCACTCGAATAACCTCGCCACGAGAAAGAACCTTTAAGAGCAAAGACATTCAGCATTTGCAAGGCTTTGGAAAAGTTTACTCTATATCATAAAAATCCATATGAAAGATGAAAAGCCCTACAGACTGAAATTTAATAAAGATTTAATAATTAAAAATAGTGTAAAAACAGTCATAAAGCCTTTTATGATACCACTTTTAAAATTAAGTATCTTGATCCCTTTTTGGAAATTGAAGTTGTTTATAGATCTTGAAATTTAATGTACTAGGCCTAGAAACTCACACTAAACAAAAAATAAACCCATGTACATCATTACATATTACAAACCTTGCTTCTGCTGCTTGGGGGTAAAAAGAGACCCGAGGGTCCTTTAAAACGGCTGCATAGCACCTTTTTTGCAAAACTCATTTTTTCAGTTAAAAAGTAAAATTTTAACATATTACAATATAGAAGATATTCGTAATAACAAATGACAATTAGAGAATTATTAATGTGTTAAAGACATAGACAAACAGGTTTCATAAAATGTTGTAGGAAGATTTAAAGAGAAACAGAGGCAACATGCTGTGGAAGCTGATGGTCCATGTTAAAAAAAGTTACTTCAGCGGTTGCTTCAAGTTGCCTATGTGAAGTGTATATGCATGCAGCCTTTCTATATCCTTTTATTTAAAGGTTTGGTCAGCTACAGAATTTCCCTGCAAGCTGAAACCTGAACACATTCCTTCATGATTCAAGGTGCAGTTTTACACTGGGAAAGCAAGGTATAAAAAAGAAAGTCACTTTTGTGTCTAGAAATTATTTGAGACAAAAAACAAAACAAAACAGACCTTAAACCATGAAATCAAATAAATCCTTTCAGAACTTTTGCAAAATGAAACCAAAGTCTTAATATAAATCTGCATGAAGTTGTAATTAGTTTACACAACAGATTAGTGAGACTGTATAAACTAAACTGAAATCTCACTTTTATCTTAACCATACTTTCACATGTTTAGGTTCTATTAAGTTTAGGTTCTATTAAGTATCTAGCACCATATTAGACACCGTGTGTGTGTGTGTGTGTGTGTGTGTGTAAAGAAAGGATCCCTGTTCTCAAAGGTTTACAGTCTTGTTGAGGACACTTAACATACCTCATGCCAGGAGATCCTTTTATAAAACAAAAATGTTCAAATTCAAAGTTATCACATAACCACCAATGAAAGGCTGGCGGCTATAGTGGTTAACTCAACGATAAACTAGATCACTGCTTCTCAACCAGATGCAATTTTGCCCTCTAGAGGACATCTGGAAATGTCTGGAGACATTTGGGGCTGGCAAACTGGGGAGGTATTACTAGCACCTAGTGGCAACAGACCAGGGATGATGGCCAGGACAGTCCCGTCTAACAGAACTATCCATCCAAAATATCAATAGTGCCAAAGCTGAGAAGCGAGCCCTCCAGTAGATTTTGGTGGCAGGGATGTCTATCAGAATTCCTGGGAGTCATGTATAGTTTTTAAAAGCACATTCTAACTTGTTTTATTTTTATTCACAAAAACTTACTTTGAAATTTCATACATCATAAGAGCAAGGGTATTGANAAAGAAAGGATCCCTGTTCTCAAAGGTTTACAGTCTTGTTGAGGACACTTAACATACCTCATGCCAGGAGATCCTTTTATAAAACAAAAATGTTCAAATTCAAAGTTATCACATAACCACCAATGAAAGGCTGGCGGCTATAGTGGTTAACTCAACGATAAACTAGATCACTGCTTCTCAACCAGATGCAATTTTGCCCTCTAGAGGACATCTGGAAATGTCTGGAGACATTTGGGGCTGGCAAACTGGGGAGGTATTACTAGCACCTAGTGGCAACAGACCAGGGATGATGGCCAGGACAGTCCCGTCTAACAGAACTATCCATCCAAAATATCAATAGTGCCAAAGCTGAGAAGCGAGCCCTCCAGTAGATTTTGGTGGCAGGGATGTCTATCAGAATTCCTGGGAGTCATGTATAGTTTTTAAAAGCACATTCTAACTTGTTTTATTTTTATTCACAAAAACTTACTTTGAAATTTCATACATCATAAGAGCAAGGGTATTGAGATTTTTATGGTTACCAGGGCAAGCAGGAAGTACGTCTGGGGATTATCAAGCTTCATCAGAATGATACATGCTATTTGATCTCATAGGCAACAGAAAGGGATTAGACAAACCACTGCCTTGTTATATCACCTTTACAAACTGGGGAGGAAACTCAGTCAACCCCAAAACTACATAAGATGCTTAGGAACAAATAGTAAAATTCATATGAACCCCCCCCACAATTCAATTCATCCTAAATCAATTCAACAAATTTATGCCAACTTATAACGTTAAACACCAAATGAATGACAAAAACCCTCAAGGACCTTAACCTTAAGAATGTCTATATCTGTGTTCTAAGTCTACTATCAACTTCCAGGACTCTGCTCCGTTCCCTTCACCCATTCACAATGTGGTGCTAAAGAGGCTTTCTACCACCATGTTCCTTAGAGATGATTCAAGGACTCTTGCATAGCCAGGCAGGAAAGGAGCACAGTCCCAGCCAAGACCCATTCTTTAGATAGTGATTAAGTACTTACTTCTTATTTGCTAAATGTCTCATTAACTAAAGGAATAAATGGCTCTGGCTGTAAGATGAAACCTATTTTCCCAGTTCCATTATAAAACTATCAGTCTACCCTTCCAAGGAAATTAATGCACAAAGCATATTCCATTACTAATTCTCTGGGAATCATATAGTTCATCATGTTGGAAAAATGAGTTGAGGTTCTTAAACAAGAACACACGTATGCCTCAAAGGTTTTAGGCAGATTCATAGTAGGGTTATTAGTCAACCTTTCTAGATATTATGGAAAGATTTCAAAAGATAGGCTTTTTAATCACAAATACCTATGTGGAATTGAATTCTTCCTACCATTCCCAGAAGTGACCTTAGGCAAACTACTTCACACAATCATTTAGGACTTGGTTTCTCAACAGTAAAATGGAGATCATATCACTTATTCCTTGAAGCAAAGAGCAAAGGAAACAACAGATACATGAACTAGAATATAAGAGGTCTTTCACAGATACTAGTATTTTTTCTCTCTGGGCTCTAAATGTATTGAGCTCACACTTGTCAACTCAAGCGCCTGGTATGAGCAGAACATACAGTGGTGTGATACAAAAGTTCCATGCTGATTCAGAATTTGAAGAATTCTGAGGTAAAACTTCAACTGAACCCAATTAATACGAAAAACCATGGAAAACAAAACTGTTTAAGGCCTATTATTCTGTGTATTAGGTTTGTATTGTAGTTTCACAAATTACTACAAACCTAATGGCTTAAAATAGTGTAAATTTATTATTTCACAGTTCCCGTGGGTCAGTAGTCCAGGCACAACATGGATAGATTCTCTGCTTCTGGCCTGACACGGCCAAATCAAGGCATTGGCCAGGCTGGGCTTTGAGCTGAAGGTTCTGAGGAAGACTCCACTTAAATTCAGTTCTTTGCAGTTGTAGGACTGAAGTTCCCTTTAACTTGCTAGAGGTCAACTGCTCTCTGCAACTAGGGGCCAGCTGCATCCCTTTTCATACGCCCTCCCTTCATTTTCAATCAGCAATGGCCTATCAGTGTTTCTCCCGCTTCGAACCTCTGGCTTCTTCTTCTACCACCAGCCAGAAAAAGCTCCTTATTTTTAAGAGCTCATTTAATTACATCGGAGCTGCATGGGATGTCCCATAGAATGTATTTCATTAGTTTGAAGTATTGT